GTCATAAGTCTGACTAATAACACCAACAAAAGTCGCTTTTTAGAAAAGAAAAAAGGAAAAAAGGTCGCTAAGTTAGCAACACTGCTCAGCTTATAGGAGCTGCTTCAAAAGCACCGTCCTGTTGAAGTGCACCGCCTCCTGCTACAGACGCTTACCTTTCCTCGGGGCTGCCACCAAACACCCGTTGGACACAAAGGACTTGCACTTCACCTTCTCTCTGAAAACAGAGAGCAGAGCATTCATGTTAACACAGATGCAGTACACTGTACACTAACGCAGACTCAAACGTGTCACACAGGGAAACATGGAGCCTCTTCGAGCTCGTGGAGCAGACATACCCTTCTGTGGGCGGCACTCTGCTCTTGGCTTTGGTGGACGGGTGGCTCCTCTTGTCTGCGTCCTGGTGCTGTAAGAAAGCGAGGAGTCGTTAACATGCAGCTCACAGCTCCTCTGGAATCACTCAATTTGCCATTAATCACGTTCAGCTGTTCAGCTAACAGCGTATTAGGGGATCCCTACCAATTTACACAAACACTACACAGAGCTGGAGCATGAGTTAAAACAACAACAACAAAGAAAGAAAAACAACCCAGTGTAACACCAGTTTACACTGAGGAGTCAGTCCCATCCAGGGCTCTGAAATAAATTGGTTATGAGTGAGATGAAGAATGTGCTTTGTCAGCAGACTGTCCTCCACCTCTCAGTGTTTGAGCATGTTAGCGAGATAGCACAGAGCACTCCCCTTCACGTGGCACGTCCAATCAGAGACACAGGAGCAGCTGGGTTAATGCAATCATCGCGGCCTTCAAACGTCTGCAGCCCGTAATGATTAACAGTGAAATCACTTTGAACTCCTGAGCTTTACTCACAGGACTGAACCTGCTGCAGCGATGAGCTCACCTGCTGCACAAAAGGAGCAGATTGCAGCACAGCGAGCTGCCGTTTCTACAACACGGTGCCAGTGTTAGCAATCACATGACTGCTGTGTGTCTCAGTGGCACGCTCGAGTACTGCTGAGCACGAGTAAGAGCTTCTTTAATCGAAACATGTTTCTGTACACGCGAGACAAAGACGGACTGGGACATAACCCGACCTGCTCGGCTTCCTGGCTGCTTCGTGGCGCGCAGCTCTTCTTCCTCCTCTCTGCAGGCCCATTGAGCTCTGCGGCGTGTCCTCCCCTGCGAGGGTCCACCTGGGAGCCTTTGGCAGCCGACAGCCCGCTGAGAGGAACACGTGCTTTTGGTTAATATGTTTTTTCTGCTTCACTAACAGTTTTTTCAATTCTGGAGACAAAAATAGCGGCGAAGCAGAGATGATACTCACAGCTGGCACGGACTCTTGGACCCGTGCTTTTTCTTGTGTCCCTGTAGATACGACTCTGGATTTCACAGGGTTTAAAAAAGAAAAAGTCAGTGATGGAGGCGCTGATCCAACTCATTGTTCATTACAATTCACACATTATTACCCATCAAATGACACATGTGAGCTTGAGCACAACTAGGGTGAAGCACAGTGTGCACGTTTGATTACATCCTGACAAAGGAGAAGTGATTCATGTGTACTGTTAGCTGCAGGACCAAAGATCAACAAAGACCCATCTCTGTGTCTGTATGATAAATGGCTTTAAAAATTAAAAATCAAACTGTTCTTTGGAGAAAGCAAATCGTCCAGGATTAACAAGCTTTATATAAAGTCTGAGCAGGACGTGCTGCCTGCTGCCCGTGGCACATGATGGGGCAAATATAGCTGTGAAATATGAGGATTTGAAACAGACTCAGCTTTTCCGACTGACCTCCAAAAATAAACACTAGTAAGACTCGGGCAGCAGGCCCGGTTAGCGGGCCGTGCCTTTGTTTTGTCAGTGCCCACAATCAGCGATTTACACAAACTTCCATGCACCTCTCCCCTCATCATGCTGCACTGCCACCACTATCATAGAAAAACACCCCCCTTCTCACCTTCCTCCTGACTGGAGGCATCGGAGCAGTCTCCCTGGTAGGCTGTGCCCAGCTGACAGTTGCCTGTTCAAAAACAAAAACACAGAAAAGGTGAAAACCCAGGAATTAAAGCACAAGTGATGAAGGAAAACCACTTTGTTCCATATGTCTGATCACTCAAGACCAAAAAAATCTGTAGCATTTTATTACTTTCATTACAAAAG